TCGTTCGCCATGAGGTAGGGAAAACATCACACCGAGTGTTGCTAATGAGAATGGCATATGTATGGCTGCTGCATGGGGCAATGGGCGCGTATATCGCAGTTGTTAGAAGTGCCCTATAGTACACAAGGGTTCGATCCCGAGCCCCAAGCTCATAAAGCTTTCCGTCCCTTTGGTGTCGGAAAATTGGTACCAGACCTGCCTGGGAAGGTAACAGCATTGACTCGATACATCGGTTGGTCATCACGATTCATTGCATTGATTAAATATGCATTCAGTCACCTCTAACGATGCGTGATGAGGTCGACATGGCGGATCCTTCAGGAAGTGATCAACAGCGAGAGTTTCGTGCTTATATGGGTGTAGATTGGTCAGCGCGAGTCGATTTCAAGTTGAAACCATGTATGGCGAAACCCATCGATTAAATTCATCTATACGAAATTAGGCGTCGGACTCTCACCATTTAGTTGAGCCTAGTTTTTATCCACTTTGGAAAATAAGACCGTGGCTACAAGTTGTACTGGACATATTGACTGTTTAATAATAATATGACAAAGATGCAGACGTTCACGTTTACGATGATTTTTCCACGCCTATGCTGTGAAAGCCCGTTGTTCCCCTACCACCACTCCCAATAGATGATCGTCTCGTCGATGATGATGAATATATATGTATATACATATAAATAGTACATGCATATATATATGTACATGTATATACATGTACCATATATATATGTATAAATATATACATGTACTTGATTCTTCAATGGCCTATCCTCACTGGTTGTGCGGGCCCCGGCATAATCTCCATTTTTCGGAGATTTGCTGGTTAAGCCATTGTCGTTCTCTGAAATCTCGAGGACAGCCTAGCCAAAGTCTGCTCCAGGTTGTCACCACCACGTAAATATCTATGGAAACGTCGGAATCCTTCTCAGCTTGGGAGACTGCCGGGGTACGAATCCTCCCGCTGTAGATCGCAGTCCGACACCCAAGAACACCTCCCAGCCACGATGAGGCGATAAACCGTTAGGAGAACACATATATATATGTATACATGTATATATATGTATATATACATATACATATATGTGAGGAATCACAAGAAATTGCGGTGTATACGAGGTAGAACTTCTCCAGAAATGAAACGGAGCTTAATTAGCGGTGTAAGCCCTCATGGTCGGCTTGCCGAACGAAGGAAAGTCCGCATACACCGATAACTGGAGCGTAAATATCTAATTAGCTGAAAGATTGTGCCGTAGAAATACATACCTGTCCGAGACATGCATGAATAGAATTGGACTTTTTAAACTGATTATCCAGTAGAAATTGAAGGAAGGGTACAAAGTGGCACGTCGGGATTGGAGTAACGTCGTGGTGCCCAAATGAAAAGATAACTATAATATTCTTCTTCTGCTTACCCCTTGTTCATGCGAAACTTAAATGGTTGCTATAAGCTTAAAGCGGTTGGCGTTAACCTATCTCTTGGAGATAGAGCATATTAAGCGTCGTAAAGATGGATGAATGCATATTTGTCTTATAGAGTTAAATTCGTTTGAACATAGGCATATCTTACACGAGTTTTTGTCCACCCATACAAATGTAGGATGTCAATTCGTTACTTATGAAACAGCAGGGTTACACCGAGGCTCAGGATCAGACCAAAGACCATACAGGTCATCTAGGTCACGTTAAAACACTGTGCTAGGGAATATCTCATTTCACTTATTTTACCCAATGTCAAACTTTCCACGGAGGTCCAAATGAAAAATATAGTGTTTTCCGTGTTTTTGAGCCAGTAGATGATGAGGTGAGATATACATATGATCAGCCGGTGATTCAACAAGGTGTAAGCAAACCACCCACTCATCGTTGTCGCTGAATGAGTTTTTCATCTGACATAATCTGATAGGGATTGTTTAGAGGGTTTTGTATTTCTCCTTACTGAATGAGTACATTTGTCATAAAATATGCATGCTTTATTTATTTCACTATTTTCGCTTGGAAGCTGACGTGGATTAGTTCCTATTTACGGTGCACATTTAATGAAACTCAATAGATTTGAACCGTGACATGGAAAAAAGAGTTTGTACGAGACAGATACTATCAAATAATTTAAGAGACCAAGTTTCACTCAACCTCACTATGGATAATCAATAATTTCGTACGAACTGTCCCTGTGTTGCTAGCGCCAGATTGGTATCCCCTGTGTTTCGAATACGGTGGCTGATGTTTCGGCGATTTCGCCTTCCTTGGAGCGTAAACCTAGTATACCATACCATATTTCACTACTCAGTCGATATTTTGTAGTTCCACGTTTTTTTTTAACGTGTGTGAGAAAATACCACATGTGCCTGGTGGTCATCTGTGTACTTTGTAACGTCAAAAACCCATTACCAACACACGGATCACCTCGCTCTATCTATGGAGTTAACGGTAGGTTTTCCTTGATAGGTAAATTTTTGAATTAGATTTCCATTTCAACTAGCAAATATCGGCTGAGTGGCAAAATATGGTGTGGTGTAGTAGATTTAGGCTACGAGAAAGGAGAAATCGACGAAACGACAGCGACCGTACTTGAAGAGAAAAGAGATACCGATCTCGCGCTAGCTTAAATAAGGACAGTTCGTAAGGTGCTGTTCAATAATGAGGTCATGTTTCAAAAAACCAAGTCGACTTAATACTCACCGTAAATGTGACATTACTGCCTTGTTATCGATGAATGTTAGAAGCATACGCGCAAAAAATCCACACAACCGAAGGCAATCTGCTGCTGTTGGTTTTTCTTTCTTAGCTTACTTATTTTATTTTTTTCGAAAAGTGGGAATAGGGATAAAAAGGAAACAAGGTCAGTACCAAGAATTCATGCGAAATTTGGTTATTTTTCCATAACCACTGGAAATTTACCGCATAGTCCTTTCATTGTTTAGTTCCATGACGCCCACTTCGCTCGGCCTAGTTAACATATATTCAACACTGCGTATCCGTTGAACTTTTGTATCGTCTAGATTCGTGCATTTCATTCTCTGATTATTCCCAAGTTCCATCAACGATTACAACTCATGCAAATTCTTATTCTTTTAGATCAATTCATCATCGTCAAGCGTCACCAGTAATTTCTGAGCCTGAAAGAAATGGCAAACGACTGGACCAATAGTTTGTTTACACTGCATTACCAATTTTCGTAGAAGATAGTTCTCTTTTTTCTGGATTTTAACACAGTGGCAAGATCATGAGACATATGCGACTCACTTTATTTTCGGCCGTCTATTTTACCGTACAGAGTTTTTCTTTCTTAAACTTTCTATAGTAATTAGATAGACTACTCAACACGGATTTCGCATCAGTTGTGCATTGAGTTAGAAAGAAGATAGGAGGAAAAAGGAACTTATTCATCTAATTTGAAACCCGCAGCGGATACCAGAATGACCGCTGTACTAACACACCGAAATTCGTAATTAGAAAACTGCATCGCCGCGATAAGGTGATAAATCACCTAGGGAACATGAGACGTAGTTTGGGATGTGTAGGATTAGGTGTGCACAAAATGCATATTGATCGATATGTTTCTACAAAGTGTGTCTTCACAAACACTACATGATCTTAAGTTTTTTCCTTAAAACCTTTCGCTGATGTAAATGTTGTACTCGATACATCCACGTTACAAACTCTAACGTTTGCGATTAACATTTCCTCTGTAATCCTCACGAGCTTCATGCTTTAAAAGATACTCTGTTTACGAAATTTAGGTAGAATTATAAGCTTAACCTTTTTGTTTGCTGCCTATTGTTTTTAACGGCAGGGTATTTGCGAAATATAACCACTATAATGCTGAGACATTTGCAAAACTCCGGACCGCAGGTGTCTGCGGTGGGGAACGAACGCGCTACTGTCCCTTCCGGAAAGTAACTCGTTCACCACCACACCATGCGGGTCCTCCGTTTCGCCTGTCTATCAGCTAGTTCTATCGATCTTTGCCACAGCAATCTCTGCCGTTAAAAAAGAGTAGGCAGTAAATAATAAGTTAAAATTGTGATTATAACTATAGCCTCAGGTTAACTGGGTTCTATGCCGATTTGAGCTCTCCAGATCAATCCCGTTGACGGGTGGCTGTTGATGGCAAAAGATCGATAGAATTAGCTGAAAGAAAGGCGAAACGAAGGACCCGCATGGTGTGGTGATGAACGCGTTACTCCCCGGAAAGGGCAATAGCGCGTTCGTTCCCCACCGCAGACACCTGCGGTCCGGAGTTTTGCAAATATCTCAGCATTATAGAATTATAAGTATTAAGCTCCCGTAAACTTTGCAGTTTGAAATAATCTGACACAACTGTACAATCGCTGACTTCTGCGATTAACGCTTTCTAGTAATTATTGAAACATTCTAGATAGAAGTCATTGGTGCATTGACTTCCTTGACTGTTGACTGCCATCTTGCAATGAGTATTTGCGAATTAGCACACTTCCGCTCTGTCCATTCAAATCGGACTTGAGTAGAGATGAACCTTCATCCACTTTTCTGCATGTTATCTACACTCATCACAGTAGATACTCCATACAGTACTTGTATTTCCTTTAGATAAAACGAAAGGCTCGATGATACAGTTTGTGAAGTTTATAAACCGTCAATTCTTGTTGACAATTTCAAGTAGCGAATTGCTCTTGTGTAGAGTTTCTTTCCTAACGTCTTGCAATATCCACTAAATGAAAACGACTCAATCGTCTTTCAAGCCCTATCTCCTGCTACGAAATGGGAATCAAGAGGTTAACATGTGTAAAAAAACGCCATAACACCAATAATATTATATTAATATTAGTACTAATATTAATATTAGTTGTCATCGCCAATGTGCTAATCAGAAAAATCTCATAAAAACGACTGCTTATCACAGTTAGTCTTAACATGACGTAACTTTAATTTCAATGGTAAAATTTAGGAAATAACCTCATCAAGTACTCGTCACTCTTCGTACTGGTCCTGCAGAACACTTCACTGGTATTGTTTATGCGATATGCGATGACTGGAAACAGGCCAAAATTTCTTAAGGTTGGTGGTATTGTATGCTTCGAATAGTAAATGTTTAAAGAAAATCCTAATTATTGCGATAAATGTACAGTTACTATAAGTAATGTATTATAATCATACCAACAGTTTACCACCTCATCGTGGCTGGGAGGTGTTCTTGGGTGTCGAACTGCGATGTACAGCGGGGGGATTCGTCCCCCCGGCAGGGTCTCTCAAGCTGAGGAGTCTGGCGTTTCCATTAGGAAGTCTAGCTAAGAGTAAACCAATACCAGCATCCACCACCGTCTTGGTATCAAAGTCGTATGGTGGTAAATCTCCCTCTGATCCACAAGAGCTGCGACTGCCTGTCATCGTGACGACCTGGGGCAGACTTTGGCCAGGCTGACCTCGGGACTCCAGGGAACCATAACGGCTTAATCAGCAAATCTCCGAAAGAGTGGAGACTATGCTGGGGCCCGCACAACTAGTAATGACGGGCCGTTCAAGTATCAAGTATCAAGTGAGTAATATGTTATAATATAATGTGGTAATATGCAGTAAAATGCAATAATATATGATGTACATAATATAAAATACAATTACTTGCTGGAATAAATATTTAGTTTTTGAATTTACACAGTTGTTTGTTATTTCCTTACATTAGCGCTATTTCCCTCTTCAGATTATTATTTAACCAATAGACCTATTTATCACTAGTACTTAATATCACCGGAAAACTTCCTGTGAAAAGTTCTGTGTAAGTTGTGAACTGCTGGACAAGGAAGTTCTACTGGAGTACAGGAATACTGCTGGACTGTTATACTGTGCTCGGTGATCAATCGACTGATCACAAGGTTCATTGCTGTCATTCCAGAATGACCCGAATTTCAACACGGCAAAATCATCTACGTACAAAGATCGGCAACAGCTAGAGGCGACGATCTAAAAACGTCCTACCATGGTTGTCGCTTTTTTTCAGAGAACTTCGCGTTCGACAAGCATTCAGAATCTTTATGAATTGTGGAGGCACCAGCACGTTTTCCAGTTGTTTCGTGGCACCGTGGTTTTCATTAGTGGTGCTGGTGTTCTCCATAAAAGAGGATGTCTGCGAATATCATTCCGTGATCCATAAATTGTTTGCAGTTGCGAAATGGCTGATTAACCGACTTGAGCCGCATACATTGCACATCTTTTGAGTAATGCTAAGAATGTTCTTGTCATATGCTGGCAGACTGTTTCTGCGTGATCGCTGGCATTCTTTTCCAGCTTACGGCTGGATCGAATCTTCGCGCGAAGAAGGTGCCGATCAGAACCAGTACAGAATGATGGCAATACTTATGTGTGAGGTAGGCACCATATTTTGTTTGTGAGAATACGGTCAATCTCCACATGAATCGGGCCGTCAAGAACTCCCTTCCATGTCCAGCGGCGGCTTTCTTCTGGAAAACGAGTTTCTATGGAAGAGATAAACTACAAGGAAAGTCGTGCAAGACAGCTTCCCTTCTTATTTGCCTACCTAATCAAAAATTTCCAGTTCTGTATTTGCTGTCGTTCGCCTTTTCTACTCTGGCGTTGAAGCCTCAGACAACAAATTTGTAGTACGCCTTGTCATTGCGAATAATTGCCTCCAACTGATGGTAGAACGTATCTAGTTCAGGTGCATCGGTCTCTGAATAGTGATCTCCCTATGAGGGGTCCATGAAGACGGAGTATGGCCATGCAAGGGGAAAGAATCTCGTAAGAGGCGACGTTGCGGGCAATGGAGGTGTGGACGAAAAACGAAGTTTCGTGACGGGACCTTTTCTCCACTGACGACAGGGTCCCGTTGTTTAGTTGGTGTATGTTTGTCTTCTTGCCTTTTGTTTTTTGTAGGGCGATCACACAGAATTCGAAGCGATCTGTAGCTTGACTAAAGTCCTGGCAGTCTGAATCTGAAGAGTGTTCGCGTAGTGTATTCATAGTGTTGTGAGCATTTTCTTCAGGTCCGTTCCCAGTGAAATATGGGTAACCGGGGATTTTGTGGCCTGTCGCTGTTCGTCTTACCATCTGATTTCAGTGAAGATAGCAGCCAGTGTGTGAGATACTGAGAGTGGGCTATTGCTGGTTGGGAATTCGATCATCCCTGGAGTCCTGACTTAACCTTGCAAGGGCGTTCTCAGGTCTTCACCGCGATGTAGATTTGACCGAAATATCCGCTCGGAAACGATTCCTTCGTTCTGTCTTCCTACTAATTGATTTGGACACGGTACTGGAGCCGAAGTCAAAAACGAAGGTAGGATTGAAAAAAATGACCGATCGTCCAAGGACGAAATAGAAACCGAAATCCCACAGTGTAGTGACTACGCAGTGTATTGATTTACCAAAGTGTGAAAGAAGTACTATATCGTGTAAATATATCTCAACTGAGAAAGGTTACTAATAGAAATAACTTAATAGCAAAAAATATGAAAAGGACTGGGCTAACCTTGCATGAAATGAGAACACAGTGGATTGTTGGTGATAAATGCGTCATTTGCCTGATTTGTCGAGATGCACAGTTAGGCTAAGGAATTGAATTAGGAGTTGATCAATTGCTGCCTAAGGCGGACGTAAGTTGCTAGGGGCGCAGAGTGATTGGGGATATATCACCAATAAATAACGACGATGGCGTTTGAACATCGAAGTGATACAGGCAATATGGTCTTATAACATCAGAATGCACTGGATGCGGAACAATATATGAGTAATACGAGGAATATATGACAGTATGGAGAAACAGACTATTCTCTATCACGTACAGAGTAGTCTTTAGGTCACTGTGCGTACAAGCTTCTCAGTAAAGCCTCGGGAAAGCCATTCCATTGGTTAGAAGTTCACTAAGAATAACAGCAATGGTGCCTGTAATAGCTAACTAAACTAACCTTCACTTAACATCGGCGTGAGTAATCGATACATTTGTCTAAATTGTCCAGCTTACATGAGGTTGTTATAAAACCGCTATTCGGCTAATGTTTCAACGTCTTCGTCTTCAGAGCCGATGGTCGAGTCCGTGATCCACAGCCGCTCGTACTCTCTTTATGGAGTTTTCTTTGTCCTATCGAGTCGGATCTTCTTCAGTTGAGATCTGACGAAGACGAAGATGTCGAAACGTTAGCCGAGAAGAAGTTTCATAGCAACATCGTGTAAGCTGAACAGTTTAAAAAAGTGTCTATAATGTTCCTATCATCTGTAATAATGGACTAAATGTTTACTTATATTATTGCATAGGGAAATAATGTATACTGCGTAACTTTGACCCCATCATTCAAAAGAGATCCATATTCGCAGCGAAGCTGGTTTTTGACAACTGACTGGAGTTTTCGGTAACTAAAGTACTTAAGCACTTCACAGTTTTATAGAAGAGGGTTCGAAGTGTCTCTGAAAATATTTTCTCGAAGATTCTATTCCAGTTAAATTTGTCTAAAACTCAAATTTGCTAAGGAGTCATAAAGGAGATTTATGTTACTAAAATTGTTGGCCCAAGCAGGGCAGAGGGAAATATCATCGATGCATTGGGGACTATATAGTGTCCTATTATACGAAGTCTTAACCATTCGAACTTTTCGGTTACTTCAAAAATGAATCAAAAGATGGATTTGATGAGCTCCAAAAAAAATTCTACTCTGTTGCTTTAGAGTAGAAAAAGAGTTGCGTCTTCTTTGAAAGGTTCTATAGATTCTGATGGTCTTAATTCAAATCAATAAGTTTTCATCCTCAGCTGCACTGTGTTCGTTCCAAGGTGAGAGATGCAATCATTTTCAGTAAAGCATGCTTCGAACTCAATTCAGACGGGTTAGATAGCCTGAATTAGTAGACATGCTTATTTCAAACTAGCAAAAACACTAATAGACTGTATGATATATGTTGATTCCTAGTGAGGATGACATCATCCTGTTCTATAAATGTTCTCATTCCTATGTGAAATAGAGGGTTAGGTACGACAATATTTCTTTGTTTTCCACGTTTTTAAGAAAAGTCGTGACAATTCAGAGGACGAATAGGCCTTCTGTAGACGTATTAGGTTTTTCTTTCTAGGCTATTTCTGTTTTCTTCGCTGAAATTTTCAAATTCGTTGCCAGTGTGGTACTTGTTTGTATGCAGGAGCGGAGTATAGTTAAGTGAGTTAGAAGGCCACGATACTACCAGACAGAATGACGAATATCTAAACCGGGCCGTTTCAGAGGCTTAGCGGAAATGTATGACCAGTTTGTGAATAAATGGCGTGATGCGTTAAAAGTTCTCATACCAGCTGTAGTCTACACGATTCAGAACATTCTGCTGTATATAGCCGTTGAAAATCTTCCGGCTGCAACGTACATGGTGATTTTCTTTTTATGAATTTTCGATGTATACCTTCAGAAACGTCATAGTAGTATAAAGAAGCAAAGGTTAAAGTGCTAGAATGAAGCGCAAAGAAAGACTTTTAGACTTTTAGGTGACATACCAGCTGAAAATTTTAACCACAGCTGTGTTCACAGTGTTGGTGCTGAAACGACCACTCTCCGCTCAACAATGGATTGCGCTTTTCTTTCTCTTTGGTGGTGTGGCTATTGTACAGTATGTGAGTTATTACTGCGTTGTTTTACTTTGATAACAGCACAAGTTACTAGTCGTAGCTAATTATATCACCATTTTTGAAGTATCACTTTGGTTTCCAGGATCAAAAAGTGTCCAACGATCTAGAGAAAGCCGAGCGACTAGCAGCGGAAAAAATCAATGATCCTTTGGCGACCACCATGCCAACGATTGAAGACTCATTTGTGAAGCTAATAGTAAGAATAAAATGCACTATTATATCGATTTTAACAATCTATAGTAAATCTGCACGATAGGATGTTCTTCTGTACTCCCTTACATGTGAGACTGAACCGTCCACAAATGACGAATGGGAGTCGAATGTTTACCGAAACTAACTAGATTTTTACTTAAATTGATACCTGGGTGGGTTCAAATGATGCTCTTTTTGCCTTTGCTGCATCGAATCGGCGCATACCTTCCAGTACACGTATTTTTATTCATTTATAGGTGCCAGTGCCTGCATTCATGTTTGCGGGTTGTATTCCGCACTATGAGCTGGGCATAACCTGGCGATCAATTGACTGAGAAGTGTATGCATAGGAAAAGGTTCAATTTCGCGTTCAAGAAGTATACGCTCTCAAAAACCCAGCAAACTGCTATTGGGTAGACCCTGCCAGAAGTAATGAAAATGAGGATCCTTATGCGCAAGATGTGATATTCTTCGTGCCCTTGAGGAGCCCACTTTGGATAGCTTTTCTATGCGACAGACGGTGGAGGGCCTTCTACTACCCCTCTATCAGTTTCTATATATTTCAGGTGCGGAAAGTATCATCTGTCACCACGTATAAACTCTTGGTTACACATCACTTGAAACTACCTACATCTCAAAAGAAATACACGATTTTTTTCGGCTCACATCTATCAGCTATCTGTCATTGAATGACGAGAACATAGCCTTGCGACTTTTCTAGTAGGGTATGAGAAACATTGGTGAAAACTATGGCGGATACCTATCAATCGAGAATTGTTATTTTTAAGTCCTAGTGCAATAGTAAATAGTGCGTAAATAATGTTCCTTCTTGAATTCTCTGAAGTGCTTATTAAATCTATCTCAAGGATTCTGGTCTTGAGACGGTGAATACTACTGCCAACCAGGTGGATGTTGCTGCTTCGCAACCACAACGAGTTCACGAGCAAAACTCCATCGTAGGTAAACTTTCTAACTTTACGCTTCAATTTTTGTTGTTCTCCTGTCGTAATTTTTGCCGCTGTTTATTAACTTGGTTTATTTTGTTGAGGATTTATTGCTGTTATTGTGGCGTGCTGTCTATCGGGATTTGCTGGTATATACTTTGAGAAGATTCTCAAAGGGTCAAATGTGTCAATTTGGGTTCGAAATACCCAACTAGCACTCCCATCCATTTTCTTCGCGTTGTTCTTTGCATTCGTACGTTATTTTCTCTTATGTTACGGTTAATCTTTGTCATCTGTAACATTAATTAACAGCAATAGTCCTCCTTGGCAGGTACTTTTTAGGCAAAAGATCATGCTAAAATATTCTCCGATGGTGGAAGCCCATCAGCCGTATGGAGTCGTATGCTGTTTGGATTTGACTGGGCTGTATGGACAACCATTGGAATTTCCGCCTTCGGTGGTCTTGTTGTTGCTGTTGTGATAAAATTTGCAGACAATATTCTGAAGGTACTTCTTCCCAACCATTTTTCTTCACAAAATTGAACATCATCCCTCGTCTTACCGGTAATTTCTCTGCCATATGCCGTTCCAGTGAGTATTTCTTTCTATCTCATACAGGCTTTCGCTACCTCATTTGCCATTCTACTGAACTGCGTTCTGTCGTATTTTCTATTCAACTTCCGACCGACAATGTTCTTCGTCATCGGTGCTTGCTGTGTTATTGGCGCTGTATTCGTTTATAGTATCTACCCATACCAGTGAGTTTTGAATCCTCGGATCTTATAGGTCGAAAGCAGCGGATTTTCTAACTATGAGCTTATCCATAAATTGTTCTTAACTATAATATTTTGAAGTTGTCACCCTTCTAGAAGAAGCACTCTTTGTGATGTTTGAACACTCTCACTATATATAGAGTTCGAAAACTTTCAAAATATAGAACATAGAGATGTAGTCCTCCCACAAAATCACTGTTCTTTTCCATTGGTCCACTCCAAAACCACACTTTTGCTTGGATTACAATATTTCGCAATGTACGAACAAGTACTTTTCAGCGCTCTTTTTCCAGCATTACAGTGATTCTCACTCGGTAAAGTTTGGACATTCACAAAGACACCGCGATAGTACATGTCTTCATGGTTCCCATTGGAATTTTTAATACGAGCACACCTACAGCTTCTTTTTTGCCATTTATTTTGTAGTCAGAGTAGAGATATGAGTGGAAATGGGCTACGATTTTTAGTTTGTTCTATGGGCTTTGAAATAGCTGTTAATAACGATGATAAGCGGATTGCATGGTTCGAATATGATACACAGATTTGAAGTATTTAAATGGACCACCAAGCTAATATTGAAGTGAAAGTTTGCTAAGAAGTATCTTCCGTACCGTCAGTTTAGCAGAAAAGTCTATAAGATTGGTACTCAGTAGTACCACCAGGATTTTAAGTGTACATCGTTTCTCACTCGTTAACAGAAACCCTTATGCGCTTTAGCACTTTGAATTGTACATTTCAGGGCTCCTCGTGATCCTCATACAGTAGCCGAAGAAATGGTAGCTCTACAGGATAAAGAACAAAAGCAAACGATCTGACGCTTTGTTAACATCTCACACATAATAATGAGTCTTGTTTTTTCATGTTATTTTTTTCTACACTAGAAATTTTGCAGAATTAAGCATTCTTGGTTAAGTACAAGTCCGTTTTCACCATTGTATGCTTCTGTCGGGTGTTCATGATTCTCTTTGGGGAAGTGTTCAAAATGCTCACTGCGTTACAGCTTAGTAATTTGTATGATTGATTTTCCTTTTATACTATGGTACTATAATTGTCATGGTCCAATGCTCTAGTCGCAGTTTATAGGCTCTTCTATTTTGTTTCTGTTGTTGTTTTTTTTTTTTTACAACAAATCATAAATATTGTTGTTTAACACGTGATACCCGAAGCCTTTTTCTGAACACCTAAAGATCTCGACGACTTGAGCAATTGAAGACTTCACAATTTTGGGGACTTATGAAAGAGACTGCTCTGTCTTGTTAATCACATTTCTATAACTTTTAGGAAATCTTTCGAAACCGACTTTCCCTGAACCTCGGTATCACAAATCAATATGTATTCTTTCTTTGATGATCTTATCATCAGCTTATCATCGGATCATCGGCTCTGAGGAAGACGAAGACGTCGAAACAGCCGAAAATAAACATCATTATCAGCCTCGTGTAAGCTCATTAAAGAAAGAATACATTTTAGGAAATACTCCTTAAACTTCAAAACGTTTTAGAGTCAGAATTTTCAAAGAACTGATTATGGAACTTTTTCAAAATGATCCACAAAAGGGCAGGAGCAGCAAGCATAAGCGATAGACTAAGAGGCATTAGACATGTCCTACGAAAAGAGATCTCGTATATTCAACTGCTATCGCTTCCGAAATACCGTGCATTCTATGGAAGTGAAGAAGTACGTCTCGTAGGCTCAAGGGATTAATCTTCTTCATCTGGTAGATTTAGAGAACTTATGTCTTATTGACAAAGACCCGTAGATTGTAAGCGTTTTATCTCAGTTAAGAAACTCAATACGGGCTCAGATATGTTGGTTTGAAGTCGAGAGCGGCTATTTCTGAACTAAACGCATTGCACTCAATTCATTTCGGACAATGGACAATTCATTGTGTGAATCGTGCTCTACATTTTGATATCGAAAGTATTACGATCCCAACGATATAAACAATACTTAGATACTGTACTGATAGTGAGACCTCGAAAACATTGCTAACGTACATATCAAAGCATATAGTTCAGAAGCTTTATTGGTGAGGATTTTGACGAGGGACAGATGTTATAAGGGGTTCAGTTTTTCCTGTTATAAAACCACACAATTATTTGATACTTTGGGCTCAGATATTACTATGATTTCTCTACATGGAGTCATAATATTTATCTCTTGGCATTCCCAGCTTTCTCACTAGTTAACAAGTAATTTTGGCAAGCGTTAGTCACAGGTTCATTTGTTCATGTCAGACACCTCTGACATGCCTCGTATGGTGCACTCCAGTCATGAGCTTGATGACAGTGCGGTCGCAAGCACCACTCTTTCCTGCTCATATGGCCACAGGGTTTCTGAACTTTATATTAAAACAGTACGAATTATGACGTCGGGAACGGCGCGTGTATAGACGGGTGTTTGTTTCTTCCTGACTGGTTCGCTTTCCCTTGCTCTGATCACACAGGATTTTCGAACACATCGTTTTATACTTGTTCATCGGGAGTTCGATCCCTCCATATGCATTATCGAAACCGCTTAATGATGATTCTACCTAGCTAATACTTAGTTAAGTGGAAAACGCCATCAGTAAAGCACAAGTAGTATGGACCACAGACATTCTCTCCCAGGCTATTTTAACCTAGTTTCCATAGCACATCCTCAAGATTATCGACACTTATGATCATACTAGTCATACAGTGGCTCGAGCTAATAACAAACATTAAAGTCTCTCCTTCCGGGGAGTAACGCGTTCACCACCACACCATGCGGGCCTTCGTTTCGCATATCTCTCGGCTAGTTCTATCGATCACAGCCAACAGCAATCACCCGTCAACAGGATTGATCTGGGAAGTCCAAATCAGCATTGAACCCAGTTAAGCTGAGGCTATATTTATAACCACAATCTTAGCCTTCTTATTTATTGCCTATTCCTTTTAATGGCAGAGCAGGTTGCGAAATATTTGCAGTTTTGTTTCTCCAGTTTATTGTTTTTCCAACCAATTTATTCTTCCAACAAGTTAATGTAACATGAGTCATATATGGCTCATAACTTTTGTATATTTGTGTTTATAAAAATTTATGTGAGACAGACGAAACGAAGGAGCCGCATGGTTTGGCGGCGAACACGTTAGCCTCCGGGACGGGTACTAGCGTGTTCGCTCCTCGCCGCAGACACCTGCGGTTCAGAGTTTTGCAGTTATCTCAGCGTCATTGCGATTGTATCACACATAATACCCTGCCGTGAAAAATTGTTCTCCTTTATTTTATACTTTACATGACCCGTCTTCACATCTACTGTGCGGATCCCAGCATTTCTCACATTCGATTCGTTTCTTCGCATCCATTGCCCACGATGATATTCCAACAATACGTGTGGCTTCGGTTGCTGCTTGAGGATTTTCATTTCTTCTTCAATGTCGTAGAATTCTGGTAGAGCATTTGTTCCTGGAGTCCTGAGATAACCGGCTGGGGCATTTCCAATCGGATGACAGAGAGTGATTTTTTCCCAGCTAAGTCCGGTACTAATTTCCCGACCTCTAAGAGATGACAGTCTTGGTGGCCCCGAGCTGAATCGAACTAGCACCATGCTCGTGATGACGAACATCACTACCACTATGCTATCCGCCACCTATAAATTGTAATAGGCAGGAAATAAAGAGTTAACTTGCTCTTGACTCAAACTGGCTGAGAGACAGGCGAAACAAAGGACCCGCATGGTGTCGTGGTGAACGCGTTACTCACCGGAAAGGATAATAGCGCATTCGTTCCCCACCGCAAACACCTGCGGTCCGGAGTTGTGCAAATATCTCAGCACTATGAAAGTTATATTTCGCAACGTACCATACGCCATTAAAAAGAATAGGCAGTAAATAAAAAGGTTAAGATTCAAGTCTCCTTTCGCACTACTGGCGAGTTAGAGCTGTAAAGTGGGCTGCGTTAGCTCGACGGATGCGAAGAGTGTCAGATTTTTCCCCTTTATATTCTTTGCCTTTGACAAGAAAATAGCCGTGGATAGCACATCGAGCAATGCCGTGACTTGGAATTAGGATTAGATAGGGTTCTGGATGGAGAAATTTCGCACTACGCTCGAGACAGCCAATTACGATAATAATTCTTCGTGGAAGCCCGACTCCAAGAAACAACATTTAGCTGGATGAGTGAGCAAACCACAGAGAGAACTAATCTCAGCCTGCCTCTCTTCATTATAATCCAAAATGGCGGAAATTTCACAGTGAAGTTGTTATACAACTCATTTCCAGGTACTGAGTAGAGGCATTTCCAACAGTTTACAGCATCATCATGGCTTGGGTGTCTGGAGCGAAGTACAGCAAGATTCGTTCTCCCAGCAGGATCTCCCAAGCTGAAAAGGAGTCCGGCGTTTTCACCACGAAGCCCAGCTAAGAGTAAGCCAATATCAGGATCCACCAATGTGCTGGTATCAAACCAGTCGCATGGTCACAAATCTCCCTCTGATACACAAGAGCGGTGACTGCCTATGATTGTGACGACATAGGGCTGACTTTGGCTAGACTGACCTCGGGACTCCAGAGAACCACAATGGCTAAATCAACAAAACTCAAAAAAATGGTAATTATGCTAGGACCCGCACAGCCAGTTAAGACGGGTCATCCACGCATCGACGAGCAGAGGAACCCTATTTTATAAGACTTCCATGATCGCACCAGTTTGAGCATAATCGAAGATGTTCTTTTGTCAATAAAAATAAGGTGTCATACTATCAAGATAATTCGTCGATTTCCGTTGAGCCTACTATCACAATTTAAACAGAGAATTTACAGTTTTATAACAGAGTGAATAAGCTTCCTGTAACTAAACCTTTTTAGAAACGCTGCTTAATCCCATGGCTGTTTTCCACCCAGCGTTCAATAAATCTTGTTAAGAACGACTCTGGTAAAAATCACGTTACAAGACAGCGATCAGAGTAACATTATCCACTCGATCAGATGAAAATAATAGAAGGATAAAGGATAAAGCTCTCGGCGTTGGTCAATCACTGAGGGATGCGCCATTCACTCGACCTCATTAAGCATCGTTTCGAGGTGATTGAATGCCTACCTGGCCTTTACAATGATCCGTGGTGGCCTACCGATGTATAGAGCCAGTGCTGTTATCCTCTCAGACAAGTTTGCTACCAAATTCCCGACCCAGGAGGGATGGAAGGCTTGGTGGGCCATGTACACGGGATCGATTCCATGTGTGTGTTGCAAGGCGCCTCCGATCACTTCACCCCACGCGCCCAGATGAAAATAATACGTTAAAAAGTGGAGGATTTAAATCAACACTTGAATATTATGATGTCAAGGCATCAAGGACGTGAAACCTTTCACAGCGGAGGAAAGACAAGAAGACAGAACCTTCGAGAATCGGAAAACAAAATTGAATGTGAGTTCGGATCTCATCACAACAGAGGAATACTCTGGTGCTATCCAACCACTACCAGTAGTTTGTACAACCGCAGCTGTGTAGTACTTCCGATGCGCCATTATGAGGAACTTTACCCCACAAAGGCAGTACAGAAGACCAAATGGTCCACAAAATTTCTAGTAAAGTAATTCAGAGTTTGAAGTAAAATATCGAGTAAAGAAAACTCAGGCAGGAAACCATTTTTGGAAAAGCCGCCTCGAAGAATTTTTAGATGTGCTCGCACGCGGACTCAAAAGTTCCGAAGTTTTACGTCGCATGCCGCATATCGCAAAACTACAGAAAATAAGTTGGTTCCCTGCTTTTTGTATTATTCTATCGCTTTAGTTCTTGTAATATGCCAACCTCCACATGGCTCATAAATTCTAGTTTTTGTATCTTTCCTCTTCCAAATATAGTAGAACGATATGCTGAAGTCGTTTCATTGACTATGGGGCTCTGGGCGGTGGAATTCCTGTTGCAATTGTTGATCCATCTCTATATTACCTACTGATAGTAGATTCCTACCAGTATAGCTTTATAGTAGGAGACGAATTAGTGAAGAAACTAAATTCCTGTAGAGTAAAGTTGCTATCGATGCCTGACAGAAAGACCATCAGGAGTTTGAGTGCTGACAGATGGCATTGTCTAGTGATTTCTCACACAAATGAATGGATTTCCTGATCAATCCATGAGTTTTCGTTTTTACTGTCTTATAAAATACTCATTTTTTCCGGTTAGTCAGATGGCAGTGTCATTTCCTTGTTGGTCTCGGGTGAGCAATGCTGTTGAAGATCCACAGACACGAACTTCAGTGGCGCAAGACCAGGTTATCCAGTTAACTGGAGAGGAAGGAGATTGGTGAGTACTGTCTGTTTATCTGTTAGTTTTTTCCTAGTTTATTTTGCGTTATAAGTTGCTTATATGAAGTATGAGCTGCTAAGGTTTAAGGTATACGTGTAGAACATTAGATGGTGAACTTGGTCGAGTGCCGAAAGTCTTGACAAACACGATAGCGAATCCGCTACGGTGACTTTATCAGTATTGTACCACATATTTCCGCACACATGTCGTTTGATTTTGTTAATATCCCTTCAGATCTTTCAATGAAAAGGTCTATTGCTCAATCGCCCATTATGACGCCCAGAGGGAACAGGATTTGTCATTTGGGATGTACACTATACTAGGTAGGCATCCGCATCTATCTGTGTTTCGTTCCCAGGTCAATGTCTTTCCAAATGAAAGCCTTTTCATTCTCTGGAACTGATTAGAGTTTTTATATTGGAGACCTTTTTAATACAGCTATTTATCTGCTGACTGTTATTTTTTTATGGCAGAGTATTATGTGAAATGCAACCACAATGTTGTTGAGATATTTGCAAAACCTGGACCTTAGGCCAGATTGAACCCACGATTACTCTTTCCGGGGGCTCACGTGTTACGCATAGCACCATTGAGACCCTCGTTCTGTCCTTTTCTTAGCCAGTCTTCGTATCTGGCCCGGGGTCTGAGTTTTGCGAATACCTCAGCATCACTGCGGTTGTATCTCACATAATTCTCTATCATGAAAAAACAACAGGCAGTAAAAAGCTATACACGGTGGTTTCCTCTACCACCTAAGCATAACTGGGTGTAATCCCGAATTGTGCTCACCATCATTACCATTAGCGGGTGATTGCTGTTGGCACTATTAATGTAAAAATAGTAGCTAAGAAGATAAAGGTAGAACGATGGCCTCAAAGGTGCTGTGTGTAAGACATGAGTCCTCGGAAAGGGTAATCGCGGTTCGAGTTGGCCTGAAGTCCATGTTTTGCAAATATCTCAACTTTGTTTAATGTTTAAATTATTCAGAATACGACTTTTTTTAGTTTCTGAAACTATGGCAGGCGATGGATGGTGTACTGGAGTTGTAGTAACGGATACCGGTAAACGCCTCGGTGTTAGCGGAACTTTTCCGTTTACACATGTCACTGAGGTTGTTTTCTTTTAGTGCTAGAACACTCCTGATTTTGCATTTGGCTTTTTCCGTAACAGGGTCTCCATCTTTGTAATGTTTCAGTTACTCGTCTTTTTGGATCTTTCTCTTTATTTCGCTTCAAAGGGTTTCAGCTGTCCGGTTTCGTTGCCCCACAGGGTGCGCCGCCGGCCATACCCACTTCGTTCACTACGAATTTTGCCGACGTCCGATTCCGCGGACCAGTTGGTAATAATTCAAACTACAACGTATTGCCATATGCCAGAGTGGTCTACCCATTCACGTTCGTATCCTTTTTTTTCCTTTTCAGTCTTTTTTCTTAAATGAGGGAACTGTACTATAGGTCCTTTGTTTCTTTAGGCTTAAGTGTGTGTGAGGTCATTGTTTCAGGTGAGTCAGGTATATTTTCATGCAGCACTATATCACCAGTAGACGACCGGTATGAGTGCGAAGTTGTATAAAGTGACAGCTGATGATGGCACTGGTAAATAGAAAAACTAGCTGAGAGAAAGGCAAAACAAAGGACTCGTATCGTGTGTTGGTGGACGCGTTATGATCTGGAAATGGTAATAACGGGTTCAACCTCCACTGTAGACACCTGCGGTCCGGTGTTTTGCAAATATCTCAGCATCGTTGTGGTTGTATCAAACATAGTACCATGCCGTGGAAAATTGTAACAGGCAGCCAAAAAACGTTAAAATGGCAGTTTTAAGTTGTTATAAGCAGTGACCTTGTTTTGGGATTTTGATGAACATACGCAGTAGATGTACATTTGGATGGCGTTCTTGCCTTTTCTTAGCAAACATTCCAGATTCTTAAGTGGTCCATTCACAATTTATTTTCCTTCGATGTGCTTATCTGAATCCTTATGTTTGCTTCATTTAAGCGCCGAATATGGAAATGAGCTCAGCCTTAAAGTCGATGACATCGTCTCCATAACCAGAAGAGTAGACAAGGACTGGCTCGAAGGTTTCTATTTCTCTTTTCATCCAGTTTCAGTGTTATTTATCTGCGTTTTTTTCCAAGACCGACTTTCTATAACCCTCGGCATTTTTAGGTTCGGTTAATGGAAAATCAGGAATATTTCCTCAGTCGTTTGTGCAGATTGTCGTAGATCTGCCTAATGATCACCAAAATTTAATGGAAAACAAACGAGCTAGTGTAGTGGATGAAGGGATTGGGTACATCCATTCTTACTGGCGTCGTTTTTTTTCCGACTGTGAGACTTTCCTTTATAGCTTCGCAACCGTCCGATACGATTTTGTAGCCAGACAAAGTGATGAGCTTAGTGTTAAAATGGGCGATTCCGTCAGGATTCTCAAAATGGTAAGAACATTGTTTAATTTCTGTCCCAATATTGAGTCAGATCACAAGTTTCTAGGTAAACACAGATTGGGTCTTCTGTAAGGATCCGGCTACTGATACATTTGGAATCGTACCAGTGTCGTTCTTAGAAGTGAGTGCCAAATTTAGATTTATGCAAATATGGCATTTTCCGGCCGTTTTATTGCAAACTAGGATTTTATTTGTTTTTCCGTTGAAAGTGTAAGCTAAGAGAGTTATGTGGCACTCCATAGCTTTTCCTGCTCAAAAGAAACTCATCTATCGGCTGGGTTTCGCATTTTGTAAGACAGGTCAATTCAGTATTCAACGCTCTAGCGGATTCATAAGTGAACTGAATGTAGCGTCAGAGTACTCACGAGTTGGTGATAATAGGTGGTATACAAGTATTATTTTTGTTCATTGTTGAGTGAATATCGTTGTGTAGGTCTACTTAGACGAGGACGAGGACGATCTTCGTAACGCAACTCCGCAAAGTCGTCCAAGCAGCATGGCAGACCAAAGTGTTAGTAACTCCCACGTCCGACTTTCTATTACTCTCAGCATTGATTGAATAATTCTTTCTACTTCTGTTTAGCATACACGAGGTGTTATTTTAGTTCTTTATTTACGTACAAGCTGAGTTTTGGCAGATTTCGCCTTCCTTCTTCCCATTTCACGAGCAAAGGTCTCGAGCCATTCTGGATTAATTCCAATAATCCGAAAATGAACCGCAGGGAGGAATGCCTCATTATCACGCGTGATGTTGAGTAGTATATCAACCTGTTATCCTGATGAGATGGGCACATGATTCCATGTGAACTCTGTGCGGTTGTTCTCCACGCGACATATTTAGTAGAAAGTTTATAGGAAGCGGTGAGTGTACAAAGACTCTGTGTTCAATGTGATTGAAATTTTGGTTCAGCATTTTCTCTGTTTGGTTATGGAGGTGTTTGGCCGTGTAGATTGCGGTCAACTTGACTTTTCCAGGCTATTGGGAAGGCAAAATTCGCCGGAACCTCAGATTGTACGTAAATAAAGAAGGAAAATAACACCTCTTGTTTGCTAAGCAGAAGTAGAAAGAATTATTCAAAGTGTTACTTTTCAGCTTCGTCTTGTAATACTTTGTTTCTTGTTATAATTCTAAGCAAAGGTGTCTTAGGTTTATTAGTAATTTATCAGTGCTTTTAATTAATTGTGACGGAAATGGACAAATTGAGGATGCTGAGATATGAACAAAAGTCGGAACTTCGATTGGGTTTCGAACTCGTGATTACTCTTACTGCGGCTTACGTGCTGTCTAACACAGCAATCGAGTCCCCTTGCTTTGTCTTCCTCTCAACCATATTTTTACTCTGCCGGTGCGATCAAAAGATTTGCGGCTTCAGCTTAACTCGATTGAAAGCCGGTTTGTGCATACCAGATTATTCCGTTGACGGATGATTGTTGGTGACACATGTAGCGTAAACGCATGGTTGAGAGAATGTTAAAGCGAGAACCTCGGTAGGTGTGGTGGGTAACGATATAAGTCCTCGGTAAGGGTCATCACGAGTTCGAAGCCTAACTGAGATTCGGAGTTCTTATGATATCTCGACATTTTTGTCGTTGCACTTCGCATTATACCCTTCCAGGAAAAAAGAATAGGCAGTAGATTAAAAGTTCGCAAATTGAGTATCCATTCAAAAGATCGACTTTCTGTAAACCTCGGTATAGATGATATATTTATTTAAATGATCTTATGAACTAGTCTTGTTGAGCTGTTGCGAGATAGGTATAGGTTGTTTTCCTTGTTGTTATTGTTGTTGTTGTTGCTGTCGTTGTTTTTGTCATTGCTTTTGGTGTCGTTGATCGATGACTGACGTTTTGGTTCCCACTCGTAACAACACGGCTCTGAGGAAGGCGAAATCGCCGAGTCATCACCCATCGACCAGCGACACCAACAGCAAAGACAACGAAGACCTGTACCAACCTCGCATTGGCTCAACAAGATCAGTTTTTAAGATTATATAAATGAGTATGCTTTCATTTATTCGTTTTTGTTTCGCGGGTGTTGCATTCATCTACGTCCATCCTGTGAGTCTTGTAGTTTTCTACACTTGGCAACAATTCATTCGTTGCACCTCCTACCGTACCGAATTGGCGCACGTCCACAAGACTGGAGGATCCTCAACAGCCTTCAGGTTTTTATTTTTGTGGTCCTTATTTGTTATATGGCATTATTTCACTGTTAGATACCTAAACGAGACTTATTTAGCCAAGGCTTCGTCTCACGCATGGGCTACATTCGGTGATGATTGGGGTATTGCTGCCGAGAAAAAGCCTCCTCCTGCTCGACCTCCTCCGCCGAAGGTAGTCCTTTCCTCATTTTTCTTTTCAACTCGTTTCTATAGCCGTTTTTTCCGTTATTCCTTTTTTTTTTTACGGAGCTTATCTTATTTCAGGTTGCAGCCATGTCTCCTTCAGAGTTGATTTCTGTAACTGAAATGTTAGACACTGCGGATAAAAATGTGAACAGCTGGTTTTTGTTTATTTATTTCTTTGTTTATTTCATTATTTACTAAAAAGGTTAGGGAATAGTGGTTTTTTATTTGGGGTTTAATTTTGATGTTTACGTAGTCTACTCCTGTGATAACATCGGCTTCATCGAACTCCAATCTCAATCCAGAAGAGAAAAGGGCAAAAGTCTTGGAAGAACTGATTAATACGGAACTACAGTTTATCACTGATATAAATGCATATACAGAGGTGATATTTTTTTCTTTATTCCCTATGGAGATTCTCTTTTCTTACGCAAATACTCCGAAAATTCCGTTTTTTCTATAGTCTATATCCATTTCAGGCAGTCGATGGGAGTACACGTTTATCGCCAAAGCAAAAGGTGATAATGAAGAATGGATGTGCCCAAGTTGTTGAATTGGCCCGTGCACTTGTGCAGGGGCTAACGAATGAACAAAGTAATGTTTTTCTCAAAACCGACTTTCTGTTAACCTCGGCATTGTTTGGTAATTCGATGTTTTTCTTCAATAAGTAGACACGAGGTTGTTATTATAGAATTTATTGGGGTACAATAGCTGACGTTTCGGCGGTTTCGCCTTCTTCAGAGCCCTTTATTTTGTAAGTATTTAAGTTAGTTGATGGGTAGCAGCCGTACACAGTAATACATGGGCGATGACTGTGCTTGTGTCAGGTCATTGGATCAGCCTGAGGTATGACGTCAGGTCACGCGTGATGACGATTCGGTATTTCGTCAATTAGAACTCGATGATGTTCTCAGATGAACTGTTCGTGTTTATTACCATCGGGACGTCGCTAGGTTTTTAAAAATCTGTTACCGCCCATGTATTACTCTGTGCAGCTGCTATCCATCAATTAACTTAAATGCTTGCAACAATTAAACGGCTCTGAAGAAGGCGAAACCGCCGAAACGTCAGCTATTGTATCCTAATAAATTCTATGATAATGTTTTTCTTTTTGGATTTCTCGTTTATTGATTAGGACATTGTGTATATAAAGTGTGTATCTTCATTTTCTTATACAAAAGCATTACTTCTTTTTTTTTTTGCTGATTTTCTTATATTTTCTCAGTGAAACCAATTGAACAGCAAATGATTGGTGAATGCTTTCTGAGGCTTCGTAAATCTTTCGGGAATACCTATGGATATTATTTCCGAAATATCGACCATATAAACTCTCTACTAATGGCTTCGGTGAGTTGTTCTATTCTTTCTATGTTGTATATCTTTTATCTTTTCTATCTTATCTATATCTTCATATTTTCTCTTTTTTTCTTTCTCTTATCTACTAATCTACTATATCTTTTTGGTTTTGTTGATTTTATTCATTCGTTCCCTGTCGTTCGCCTCATCGATTCAAAACTACTAAATTTCATCCATTTCTTGTCCACTGTTCATTTTTGCATAATTGTAGAGGACGGATTCGAAGATTGAAACGGCTTTACGGGAGCTTGTGGTCCGTATGCGAGCGAGTGGTGCGGGTGTGTTTGATGCATCTACTGCCATAAGCCGACCTGTGCAGCGTTGTGTCAAGTATCCATTGTTTCTTAGTGAAATAGCAAAGGTATATCTTTTCCAATCTTTATTCAATTTGCATCTTCGATTACTAAGAACGCTCTTATTTTAGTACACTGCTCTGAATCATCCTGACCATCCTAAGTTACTTGAGGCAATAAAACAGCTGTCTCACCTAGGATCAAAGATGAATGAAAGCAAAAGAAGAAAGGAATTGAGTTTGTTTTTCCTTCCTGCGAAGCCGCTAACATATGTTTTGTGGTCGATTTATATTTGTCGTTCTAGCTCGAAAGTATAGCGAAGAGCCGTCAAACACCTCAATCAGTGATAGACTTTCAAAGTTTACCATGCACTCTATAAAGAAGAAAACCAACCGTTTCACATATCGTATGGGTTCCTCGCTTGGCGTGGTTAAACTAGTGGGTTTTATAAGATTCCGCGTTCTTTAAATTTCTTTTAGTTTCTATTTTACTTAGGATTTTTGTAATTGTGCAGACCCGAGACGCTGATTTCGATAGATTGGTGTGTGAGTTAGATCAAGCGGAGCGACGGCTAGTTCGTTTCAACTATATGCTTGTCATCTACCGAAAGAAGATGTTTTATGAAACACGGCAGCTCATACAAAAACGGCTCATAGAACCGAGTAAGACTTTGAGCATGAAGTACAGTCATTGACTTATTTATCACTTTGTCTTTACTTGTATTGTTTTATATTAGTAAGAAATACTTCGCTAGGGAAGCGTGAAATACCTGGAGTCAGTGCTGACGCTCAAACTTTTCCCTTCCATGACATGATTAAAGACTTAGCGGTTGATCTAAATATTAAGTAAGATTTTAGTTTTGTATTTATGTTTTCTACTACATCTATTAGTGTCAGAAGGTTTCATAGAAGGTCATTCTTCTTGAAGAGTCCGAGATGAGATCGTGAAGGCATTACGAGCTATTCCGAAGAAGCTCATCCGTAAGCGAAACGATAAACTCATGGATTACGAAGCAGCGAAATCCAGTAACAAGATGGTAGTTTCGGCTTTGTTGACTTATTTAACTTCACCGTTTTCTTCGATGTCACATTTCCGGTTTAGAAGTCAGATTTCATGTCAAAGTTCAAGGATTTTGAAGCCTTAAATAATCAAGTAAAACAAACTCTACCCAAAGTAATCGAAGTGCTTAACACAGTAAGTATAATATTAGTTTTGATCTCTTTTAGCATTTCCTGGTGTTTCAATGGAAGAATGGAGTTTCCAGGTTCTTCGAGATGCGATGAAAACAGTTGATGAGCTGGACAGTGGTCTGATTTCTCGTATTCGCTCCAAGTTCCAGGAAGAGATTACAGCTTACCAAAACGATCCCTTGGCTAGTACGGTGTGTTTGCATTTAATTTTTCATAAGTTACATCATGATTCAGTGTCTCTTCTCAGAAAATTTGTTGGGTTTGTTTATGGTCGTATGATTTTTAAGAATTTCTTCTTCCAGTCGCGCTTGATTGTCCCTGGAATGAGTTGTTTCGCAAACTACTATGATCCAGATAGATTGAAACCTCTTAACAATATCGTAAATAAGGTTTGCTGTTCCTTTTTTCTTTAGTACTTCAAAAAATCGCGATGGGTATTTCAGGCATCCAAATTAGTGAGGCTCAACAGTATCTGTCTGTCTCCCACTAAGCAGAAAAGTATGTCCTTATTCGGTAAAGTATGTTTAGACAATAGTTATTCTATGCCATTAGTTAGGTTTGTAGAGCATTTTATGTATAGAGGTGCCATTTTTGACGGTTGTACTAGTAGTTTCATATTGTGCAAAAGTAAATTTTGTATTTCCCTCCTAGAGAACAAAGGAGATTGTTCTACACAATTTGTGTTACTGTTCCCACCTCGTGTCGGTACTTCATTATTGAACTTATTTCTTGCTCCGAGACTCATAGTTATCTATGAAAGCAGCGATGCGCTTGCCTCTAGGCTGTGGATAGATTGGGTATAAGTCACTGCAAATATTATGGGATTATTTGAGATTCGTCAAGAATTGACGTTTCGGATTACCAAAGTGCGGCGAAGACTTTGGTTAGGGTGACCTCGGGACTCCAGGGAAACAATGGCTAAACCAGGAAGACTCCGAAAAATAGCGATCATGCTGGGGCCGCTCACAACCAGTGAAGTCATGCCGTCCAAGTATCCATGTAAGTAAGCAGGATTACCAAAGTGCAGTTTGGGCTTTTCCATGACGAGTTCGGATTTTTGCGGAAATCTTGGAGCAGACAGTAGCACCTGCCATTCATTTGGAAATATATTCATATTGCGACACTAGTTTTCCAGAATCACCTCATTTTATTGAATTCTCATCCTTTCCGTTCCGTATTGAAAGCGTTCCTTGACCATTTCATGCTTATGGCGAATATTCAACTGCGCATTGCCTTCAGGGGTACAGAGAGACGTTTTCCATTGATCACCTGTTATACTTACTTACTTTATACTTGAACGGCCCGTCCTCACTAGTTATTCGGGCCCCATCTTAATCACCGTTTTTCGGAGATTTGCTGGTTAGGTCATTGTGGTTTCCTGGAATCCTGAGGACAGCCTGGCCAAAGCCTGCCCAGGTCGTCACCACCACGGGCAGTCGCAGCCCTTGTGGATTAGAGGGGGATTTGCCACCATGCGACTTTGATACCAGGACGGTGGTGGATCATGGTTTACTCTTAGCAAAGCTTTCTGATGGAAACGCCGGACTCCTTCTCAGCTTGGGAAACCTTGCCTGTACATCGCGGTCTGACACCTAGGAACCTCCTAGTCACAAAGAGGCGGTAAACCGTTGGGAGGCACTTGTTATAAATTTACAAAAATATATTCCTTATTCGTATCATGCTTCCAGTACTGATTCATTAGTTACCGATATTAGAGTGTAATAGTCCCTGAAGGGAATTATTTTCTGAAAGGGAAAATTCATTAAGGTAGCTTTATGAAAAGATTTGAATACTATTTGTACGAGAATTTTGCTCCGGCAAGTCTAACAACCATACAATGGAATCATATTACTACTGTCGACCGTGTTTCACTTTTCATTTGGTGTTTATCTTCTTGGTCTTGGTATCCTGAAAAGAAACCGCTTACTATTTGATGCAATCATCGGTCGTGGGCGAAGCTCTTGACTGTTCATAACCGTGTGTCGTTTTGTTTACTACCGGAGTTTGTATGAAATTGAGGGATCTGATGTCTTGCTTGTCAAACATGGTGATGTTCCAATGTACCAAAGTACATGCTGGTCCGATCTCAGATTCTGTCCATAGACTGCTTAGTCACTTCTAGGTCGTAGAGTTTTATGCCACGTTGTAATTAAAAACTTCCAAGCAGGAGTAAAAATTCAAAGGGTGATGTACGTACGCATGTTTATTTTCACACATATAAACTTGTTAGGACCGATGATTCGTCTTGGGAATGAAGCGTTGTATGCGTTATAATTCGACGCTTGAGGTTGAAAATCTAACTAGATGATGCGAAAAAGAACTTTGTGCCGTTGATTTTTCATTACTGTTTGTGCTTGAGGATATGTTATGTCGAGTAAAAGTTCAGATGAAGACTGGAAGGGAGAGAGTGAAGAAATTCTTCCGTCCACTCAAATTGCCCCGAATCGAGTCCAATGCGAAAAGAAAACATTTCGTGCTCAAACTGAAGACGAACGGGCACAAATTTTGGTTAAAGCAGACCTTAAGTGAGCATCACCTTCAAAACACTATTGTCTTGCATGGATGTTCCTATTGCTTATCTAGGAATCGTCGAGCTGATATATATCGCTGTATGTCTGAATGGCCTGCGTCGGAAAAGGCTATGGAGTTTAATAAGACGAGTGGCAAGATGCTGATTGTGCGACCAGGTGATGCTGTTTTGGCCGTGAGGAAAGACCCGTGCAATATGTGGTACGTGAATATGTGGTATTGAATAAATTGGTGAGCTGTGCCGAAGATTTTAAACGTAGCTACTTATTTATCAAGCTGATGGTAAAGCATAAATGAAGTAGAAAGCTCTCCGCGTTAATCCCTGAGGGATATACTGTGCATTCGGCTTCATTAACCAGAGTTGGAGATGAGTGAATGCATATCTGACCTTACAATGACTTGTGTTAGCCCAGTGATGTATCGAACCAGTGCTGCTATCCTCCCAGATAAGTCTAGTACCAATTCGTCTACCTTGTAGGAATGGAAGGCTTGCTCAGCCATGAGCGTAGGGATCTATCCAGTGTATATTGCAGCGCGCCTCTAACTACTGTGATACAGGCGCCCCCACCAAGCTGATGATATGGTGTTTTTGATTAATGCGTCGTTTTCTTGTTCAGGAATCGCAAGGTTGTTATGCAGCATACATTTACTTCCACAGAAAAACATAATACAATACAACATTAGCTGACGTTTCGGCACCATCGCCTTCTTCAGAGCCTGGAAGGGTATACTGATGTACAATCTACTAGGTCAAACGCTTCAATAACACGCAAAAAGACGAAAAACTCTATAGTAACTACATGGTCAACAGCTTCTTAAAAAACTCACCGACTTCCAATGAGGAAGGTTAGAACGGCTGATTATAGTCGCATATGGTTGATGACTGAACCATCTCACATTAGAAATTAATACGGGGTCAGATCGCGTACGATCTCTGGGCATTCATCCCCGCTATTCATTGTAGGGGTTTTGGCATTTATCCAAAAAGCCTCAAGAAGGTTTCGCGCTGGTGTTTTAGTCTCCTGTGCAAGGGTATTGATTTTTACTTCAAAATCGTCTCCGCTATGCTTTTGTATTCTATGCGCGCCTAGTGGGGTACTTTGTCTTGCTTTTCGTTTACCATCTAGGTGTTCTTTTATACGGATACACAAGGGTCTGCCCGTTTAGCCAATATATTCATCTTCGCAATCATTACTAGAGATCAGGTATATCGTACCTGAACTCATCCCTGCCGTAAGGACAAATTACGCAACTTGTTTCAGATAGACGGTCATACAAACGGTTACGAACTAACTGACGACGTAGAGTGGGTGGTAGTATTTCAACTATCGCTATCGATTCCTCTACCTAGACCTGCCCTTTTTGAGCATCGTTTTGTAGCTACATTTACTTCGTCGCTAATAAAGGCCAACATAAACGGGACTTTTTTTTGGCCAAGTGTTTCGCGTGGGCGCGTCGTTCTCCTTGTAAACTTATCTCGTAGGGGTACTATTTCGTAGCCATTGGAGATGGCTATTTGCCGAGCCAAGTCGCGCGATTCTTGCTTTAGTTCCCAGGTTGTGCACATAGAGGTGGCTGTTCGAAGCATATTTCTCACAAGCGCCCTCTTTGTATGTGAAGGGTGGTAAGAGAGGAAGTGAGTCAGGGTGTTTTTGTTGCTTGGTTTTCGGTACGACTTTGTCATAGAACCGCTGCTTGTTAAGTTGGTTTGAACATTTAAAAACGGAAGCCAGTTTTTTCTCGGTTCCACCCGGATGAACTTTATGTACTCAGACTGCTCGTTCAATGATTCTAAGCATTTGTCCATCTCCTCCTGTGTAGAGAAGATGACAAAACGATGATCTATATATCTCCAGTAGAGTAGCGGCAGGAGATCGATGACCAGGGCTTTTATTTTAGACATGGACGCAATGGTGACTGTTGGTGCCAACCGCTGTCCCATTGCCAGCCTTCTAATTTGTGCGTAATAGTTCCCAGATCATCTCAAAATCGAGCAGTTTAGGCACTCTTTTAAGAAAGCTATGGGCTGCTGAATAGACAAGCCATGCATATGTATTCCTCCTTCATGTTCAACAAGAAGTTCGTGGATGGCTTGCATTGCGGAGTCATTCGATGTGTTGGTGTAAAGCGCGGAAACGTCGAATAACTCCATCACGTACGCGTTGTTAGGAGGCTCGTTACGTAGACGTTCTAGGAACGTTTCGGTTTTCGTAAGGTGAGCTGGAATATGGCTAAGCAGTTAGTTAAGTGTTCGGCCTAAAAACCATGTTATTCTATCCGTTGGCCCGTCTACACAGCTGATAATGTGGGTCTAACCTCGTAGGAGAGTGGATTGCTAGACGCGAGATCATCATCTGATACAAACTTATGTGTTTTAGTAAGTAAGTATAAAAGTGACATATTGGTCGATCTACTTTAAAATGCGAAATAACGGATGATTTTAAGCCCCCTCGTCTTTGCTGCTGTGGCCCACTCATTGTTAAGTTTTCGGTATTGTCTTTTGTATTCCTTTTCAGACGATGGGCGATAAAGGGTAACTTCACTAATATGTTTCTCCGTTATCTTAACATCTAACTGCCGAGGAATAACTACGAACTCTCCCCCTTTATCACTAACTGATAGTCTAATGATCTTTGAATTTATTAATTCTCTAATTTTTCGCATACGTTTTTGCGCAGCTGTGAGGTTAGCGATATGGTTTCTGTCGTGATATTGGACAAGTGTTTTGAGAACGTCTTCCGAAAACATGTGGAACTTTGTATCAATTTCGACATTGGGGTCATGCTGTCTGAAGAACGCTCTGGGAAAAGGAGGAGGTGGTAATAACGCCATTTCTTCATTTTCGCTCTATTCGATATTTCATTTTTGGCCTTATAGTGGGGTC